TTGTGTGTATAAAATATTAATGCTTCTTGCTGCCTAAGAAGAATAGGACTTTGGACTCTAATCAAGAGTTGTACGAGGACTGTAAATTGTAGAGGACTGTAAAAACAGAACGGGGGGGCGGGGGGGCGGGGGGGGAAGTAAAGAAGGGGGGATAAGTCGACGTAAGACGATTTAAAAGTCCCAGTTGCTCGGGGGGCTCAGCTGTCGAAAGAACTTACTGTCTGAGGATATTGGAAATTATATAAAGAGTGTAAGGGAAATGTTAGAGAATGTTTTAAAACAGAAAGGGGGGGGGGGGGGTTTGTATTCGGGGTTAGGGGGGGTAGGGGTTAGGGTGGGGGTTGGGGGTTGGGGTTTGTTGGAAGGGTGGGGGGTAGGAATGGGTGTGGGGGGGTGGGGGTAAGGGGTTGGGGGGGGGAATGGAGAATGAGGGGAAGGAAGAGGGGGGTTGAAGGGAGATGAGGGTAAGACGTGTACAGGTGTGGGAAGGGGGGAAGAGGTTATTGCAATCATGGTTTCAGACTTGGAAACGACTGGGGAGAGGAGCGAAGCTGACTAGCGCAGCGGCAAAACTCGGTGTGTGTGGGTGGGGGGGGTGGGGTGTGTGAGTGGCTGTGTTGATGATGGTTAAGTGGGGATTTTGTTTTTTTTCTCCTCCATAAACCCTTCTGCTGGCAGCTCGGGGGGAAGGGGAAGTTTGGCTAGATTCTCAGCTCTGACGTGTTTCTAGAAGGGAATTTTTCGGTGTTTGGAACTGGGACTAGCGATGTGTTTGGTTGTTGATTCTGACGTTGAAATGAGTGGTTAGTCTCGACTGTATTGTGGTTGTGAGGTAGGGGGAGGGGATAGAGTTATTTTTCTCTCCATACCGTCAATGGGTATCGTATTGGGATAAAGGACTCCCAGGTTAAGCTTGCCTTTGCACAGCAACAATGAAGGTTGTCTCCTGGTTAGTTGATGGACAATTTTTGATTACCTTCTGGAAAAACCAAAAGCTCGCCCGTATTATAAGGAGGATGGGATTCCACCCAAATCACTTTGGGTTTCCTGGATCCTTTCACAAGCGTTATTGAGGGCTGCGTTGAGACAATGACTTAATCAAAGGACCCCGCAGACGTCAGTCATTTTAATCCCTACCATTGTGGTCGCTAGAGTTGCATAACTGGATTCGAGCAAAAAATGTTACAGTATCCTAGGAGGCGTGCGTTGGAAGGACCACAATGCAAATAGGGCCTAATTTATTGTTCCTCTTACTGCCCGGAATGCCTCTGTGATCATACAGTTATTGTAGGCAGTAATACATAGCGTATGAAAAGAAGTAATACTGTTAGGCATAAGGGGGTGACCCTCATAGAGGAAGTCACTGTGTGCATCTCACCCGCACTAATAAAATAAACTGAGTATGTCACCTCTTGCTAGCTTTCCCCAGTAAAAGTACAAGCAAGAAAAAATATGCAAGGAATCACAACAGAAAAGTGGTTTTTAAAATAAAATAGCCCCGGTTAACATGTGTAGCTTAAGGGAAAACCAACGGTTTTACGTTTAATGAAATCAAATAATTTGATAATAACAGATTTACATTCATATTCTGACATTCTTCTGGAAACTCACTTAGATAATACCGTGATGATACAGGGGTAGAAATACAATAGAAAGCAAGGTTATAACATTTACAGAAAGGACAGAGAAATGCCAATGGTGGGGCGGTGTATAGTGTTGCGTCTATATTCAGAACCAAATTCCTGTATAAGCTTAGAGAGGATCTAATGTAAATACTTTTGAAGTAATATGGCTACAGGTTCAACGCCTCACCACTAAAGGCCATTCTGGTGGGAAGTTGCTATAGACCACCCCAAGTGCTAACAGTCAGGATCTGGAAAACATGTGTGAAAATGCTTGATAATATGTGATATCAAGAGAGAGGGATTTACTTTTTCTGGGTGATTTTAACATATGAACTGGATTATCAGCTTTGCTACTCGGAGAGCTTCAAACTGTAAACTAGTGGCGCGCAAAAACCTGGGTTCAAGGTTATCAATAACCTACCCGGGTTGTAGGTACAAAAAAAACAACAGTACAGGAATGAAAATCATCAAACAGGTATGGTCATATCTTTACTAATTGCTGCAGAAATTTGTTTGAAAAAGCCAGTATCCAAATCCACGGATGTAGTGATTCACAAATATAGAGCAATATCTAGGAAAAAACCAAAAGTTCCAAAGGCTGGACCTAATATTGTGTATGAGGTCATACAAGAGTTCTGTAGTGATTCCTATTTGTTGATGTGAAGAATATTTGTTGGTCTGTGGTTGTGTAATGACGAGCAACCAGACTCTGCACTTTACACATTTATGTAATTGCTTATTCCAGTACTATAAGCATGCACCCATTTACGAAAATGACTGTAAAAACTGTTAATTCCCCGTGGATTGATGAGGAATTAAAAAATTGTAGGGTTGAGAGGGAAGGCAAAGAGATGGAAAATAGGTCTGGCTGTACAACCGATTGGCAAACGTACTGCAAATTGAGAACGTGACTAGCTGAATAAAAAGAAGAAGCTACACTATGAAACAAAGATAGATGACATTAAGAATGATGTAAAAAGCATTGGACGACCTTAAATGAAATGTTGGGCACAAACAGGCAAACTCCTCTCCATCATTCATTGAATCAGATGGCTCTTTCATCACAAAACCCACATTAACTACTTTAATGATTTTTTTGGCAAGATTAGCAAATTTACAGTGCCTTGCAAAAGTATTCATCCCACTTGGCGTTTTTCCTATTTTGTTGCATTACAACCTGTAATTTAAATGGATTTTTATTTGGATTTCATGTAACAAAATAGTCCAAATTGGTGAAGTGAGATGAAAAAAAATAACTTGTTTCAAAAAATATAGGAAAAGTGGTTTGTGCGTATGTATTCACCCCCTTTGCTATGAAGCCCCTAAATAAGATCTGGTGCAACCAATTACCTTCAGAAGTCACATAATTAGTTAAATAAGTCCACCTGTGTGCAATCTAAGTGTCACATGATCTGTCACATGATCTCAGTGTATATATACACCTGTTCTGAAAGGCCACAGAGTCTGCAACACCGCTAAGCAAGGGGTACCCACCAAGCAAGCTGCACCACGAAGACCAAGGAGCTCTCCAAACAGGTCAGGGACAAAGTTGTGGAGAAGTACAGATCAGGGTTGGGTTATAAAAAAATATCAAAAACTTTGAACATCCCACGGAGCACCATTTTAGATCCATTGTAAAAAAAATTGAAAGAATATGGCACCACAACAAACCTGCCCAGAGAGGGCCGCCCACCAAAACTCACGGACCAGGCAAGGAGGGCATTAATCAGAGGGGCAACAAAGAGACCAAAGATAACCCTGAATGAGCTGCAAAGCTCCACAGCGTAGATTGGATTATCTGTCCATAGGACCACTTTAAGCCGTACACTCCACAGAGCTGGGATTTACGGAAGAGTGGCCAGGAAAAAAAGAAGCAAACACGTTTGGTGTTCGCCAAAAGGCATGTTGGAGACTCCTCAAACATATGGAAGAAGGTACTTTGGTCAGATGAGACTAAAATTGAGCTTTTTGGGCCATCAAGGAAAACACTATGTCTGGCGCAAAACCCAACACCTCTCATCACCCCGAGAACACCATCCCCACAGTGAAGCATGCTGTGGTGATGTTTTTCATCGGCAGGGACTGGGAAAACTGGTCAGAATTGAAGGAATGATGGATGGCGCTAAATACAGGGAAATTCTTGAGGGAACGTGTTTTCAGTCATCCAGAGATTTGAGACTGGGATGGAGGTTCACCTTCCAGCAGGACAATGACCCTAAGCATACTGCTAAAGCAACACTCGAGTGGTTTAAGGGGAAACATTTTAAAATGTTTTGGGAATGGCCTAGTCAAAGCCCAGACCTCAATCCAATTGTGAATCTGTGGTATGACTTAAAGATTGCTGTACCACCAGCGGAACCCATCCAACTTGAAGGAGCTGGAGCAGTTTTGCCTTGAAGAATGGGCAAAAATCCCAGTGGCTAGATGTGCCAAGCTTATAGAGACACCCCAAGAGACTTGCAGCTGTAATTGCTGCAAAAGGTGGCTCTACAAAGTATTGACTTTGGGGGGGGTGAGTAGTTTATGCACGCTCAAGGTTTCTTTTGTCTTATTTCTTGTTTGTTTCACAATAAAAAATATTTTGCATCTTCAAAGTGGTAGGCGTGGTGTGTAAAGCAAATGATACAAACCCCCCAAAAATCCATTTTAATTCCAGGTTATAAGGCAACAAAATTGGAAAAATGCCAAGGGGGGTGAATACTTTTGCAAGCCACTGTAGGCACGACATGCCAGCAACAAACGCTGACACTACACATCCAAGTATATCTGACCAAATTAGGAAAGACAAGCATAGTAATTTTGAGTAAGTGTGGGAAGAGGTAAAAAAAGTATTATTGTCGATCAACAATGACAAGCCACCGGGGTCTGACAACTTGGATGTAAAATTACAGAGGATAATAGCAGACGATATTGCCACTCCTATTTGCCATATCTTCAATTTAAGCCTACTAGAAAGTGTGTGCCCCCAGGTAGTAGAGTAGAGGCCTGAGGGCACACACTTAATATGTTGTGAAATCTGTTATGAATGTATTGTAATGTTTTTTTAAATGTATAACTGCCTTAATTTTGCTGGACCCAGGAAGAGTAGCTGCTGCCTATTGGGGATCCATAATAAATACAAATAGTACTGACTCAATGTCTCACTATAGAGTTGGAATTTTAACCTACTTGGTTTTTATTCTTGGATTGTTCCTTTTGTGTTGGTTTTAGCAAAGCTGAGTGAATAGTAACAGGTCTTTTGAGAGGCACTGACTGTTCAAATCAATGATTGACTCTCTGTCCCTCTCTCTGTCCCTCTCTCTCTCTGTCCCTCTCTCCCCCCTCCCTGTCCCCTCTGTCCCTCTCTCTGTCCCTCTCCCTCTCTCTCTCTTCCAGCCTGGCCTGCTGAAAGCCATCTTCAATGTGGACCCAGATGAAGTGCGCTCCCTCATATTTCAGAAAGAGGATGTGAATGTTCAGGTAATCATCCCAGCTGTTTCCTACCATTATTTCCACCCTCCTGTCTGTCCTCCGGATAGGAACACACTATTTTTTCACATTTATAACTTAAGTCATTTGTTGCCAAAATCTAAGGTTGCACAATTCTGGTAACTTAAATGCCTAGATTTTCCAGAAATCCCAATATGAAGATTCCTGAATCAGAAGGGAATAAGCAGGAATTCCGGAATCCTCTGTCTAACCAGGATTTCTGGAAAAACCTCTGATTTTGGGGAAAGTTACTGGAATTTTGCAACCCTACCGAAATCACATATTTTAGCCTGATCAGAACAGATGCCTCCTTCCATCAGCCGTATGCACCTTGTTCAGTATCTGTCACTTTACACAAACTCTGTCAGTGGTCCCCCCTGGGTACAAATGTAGTTTTTTGTCCTAGCACTACACAGCTGATTCAAATAACCTAATCATCAAGCTTTGATTATTTGAATCAGCTGTGTAGTGCTAGGGCAAGAAACCAAAACGTGCACCCAGTGGGGGCCCCAGGACCGAGTTTGGTAAACCCTGCGTTAGAGTATGTACTTCGTGCAATAGCATACTTGTTTTCATAAAGCCATACACTATGTTGAAGTTACAGTATAGCCTAGTTACAGTATAGCCTAGTTACAGTATAAGCCTAGTTTACAGTATAGCCTAGTTACAGTATAGCCTAGTTACAGTATAGCCTAGTTACAGTATAGCCTAGTTACAGTATTCCCTAGTTACAGTATAGCCTAGTTACAGTATTCCTAGTTACAGTATGCCTAGTTACAGTATAGCCTAGTTACAGTATAGCCCTAGTTACCAGTATATCCCTAGTTACAGTATAGCCTAGTTACAGTATAGCCTAGTTTATAGCCTAGTTGATCAGTATGTAGCCTAGTTGCAGTATGTAGCCTAGTTGCAGTATGTAGCCTAGTTGCAGTATGTAGCCTAGTTGCAGTATGTAGCCTAGTTGCAGTATGTAGCCTAGTTGCAGTATGTAGCCTAGTTGCAGTATGTAGCCTAGTTGCAGTATGTAGCCTAGTTGCAGTATGTAGCCTATTTGCAGTATGTAGCCTAGTTGCAGTATGTAGCCTAGTTGCAGTATAGGCTGGTTAGAGACATAAATATCCAGCTGCCAGCTGAATTATCCAAGCCATAAGAATGTATTGCTAAACTAGTACGATTTTAAAATCAAATGTATTCCTGTATCCATACTAGCTGAATATGAAATGGCTATAACACTTATTTGCTCTTCCCTACAGGACAATGAGAAGCGGACACCGTTGCATGCAGCTGCCTATCTAGGAGATGCAGAAATTCTAGAGCTGCTCATACTATCAGGTAAGGTTATCATTGATGAGATGGATTACGCTATGGACTCATGTCCGTCGGACTTTGACTTCTGTTTTGATGCTGGTTGTGTTTGAATGTGACCGTTTCCCTCATACTTATCCCATTCAGATCTTATGTGCAGCTGATGTGTTTAAAAGGTAATTTTAATTAAGGCCGTTGACAGCTGAAACGTCCCTATTTTAACTTGATAAGTGAAGCATCCAGATTTTAATTGTGAGCGACATTCAAACCTTTTCCTTCCGAATGCCCTCATGATTTTGTGTTGCACCCTCGTCTCACGTTGGCTGGGCTCCTCCTACTCCTCTCCACTCAGTGACATTTTCTTTAGTGTTGCTGTGTAATGAAAGTCCCTGTCCCGGAATAGCGCTCTACAAGAGGCTTTGTGCGCGTTCCAAATGGCACCCTATTCCCTATATAGTGCACTACTTTTGACCTGGGCCCTGATCAGAAGTAGTGCACTATAAAGGTAATAGGGTGTTGTTTTGGACACCTCCTTTCTGTGCTCCAGCTATTTAAAGGATGTTGCCTAATCAATCCCAGTGACCTAACTAACCCTATAGTCGGTCTGTCACCTGTTTTTTCTGTCTGTGTCCCAGGAGCCAGAGTAAATGCCAAAGACAACAAGTGGCTCACTCCTCTGCACCGGGCCGTGGCTTCCTGCAGTGAGGTACGTGTACTGATACTGTCAGCCCTCACAAACACTCCTGTGCATATGCGTTTGACTATTAAGTGTGTTGTGATTTTTAAATGCACTTTAAACAAAGTTGAACATGATATGAACTGTGTTCCCGTAGGAGGCTGTCCAGGTGTTATTGAAACACTCTGCTGATGTGAACGCCAGGGACAAAAACTGGCAAACGCCGCTCCACATCGCTGCGGCCAATAAGGCAGTCCGCTGTGCCGAGGCCCTGGTCCCTCTCCTCAGCAACGTGAACGTGTCAGACCGGGCCGGGCGCACGGCGCTGCACCATGCAGCCTTCAGCGGACACCAGGAGGTTAGCAATTAGCATGGACATGATTACACACTGTAGTCTACACTTTATACCTGTCCTATCCCCACGTTGAGCTTACTGTGCATCTGATTACTTACAATGGTTGTATGTAGGGCTGTGACGGTAATTGGATAACCGTGACATTGACGGTTTTGGATGAAGAACGCCATGAAAATAAAATAACCGTCATAACCAAAAAGAAGTGTGATTTTTCTCTCCATAAAATGTTTTATCACCTTTATTTTAATGTAGATATACTTTATCCATAGTGGGAGTGTTAACTATTGATTATATGGTATTGTTTTGCTGACTTAGTCCATCTATTAAACTGTCTATATCTCCTCTCTCCAACTATCTTTTGATGCGCCGCAATCACCAAATCTGCTGTATGCGCGGATAGGAGAGAATCTTTGAAGGTCAATTGAGGTTAATTGAAGGGGGGGGGGGGGGTGAAAAGTGGGGGCCGGGGGTAACTATAGTACCTATAGATCTATAGCCTACAGGCTGGGGGGGGGGGGTAGCTTCTGGCCTTTTTTATTGTTACAGTAGATGGCTCTCATTGCAAAAAAAACCATAACCTATTTGGGCACATTTCAGTTTCACACATAACGATAATGGAGAACCAGATGACTTGGACCAGCCTGTTTGCAGAATATGCGCAAAACCCATAGGCTACCTACTAAGAATTCCAGCACCACAAACAGGACACCGATAAGAGGCGAGCACTGCCAGACACTGTAACTCGTTATTTAGTCATAGGAATGGTGCCTTTACGAACGGTGGAGAAACCCGCCTTCAAATAAATGCTCCGGAAATTTGACAGACTATACGAGTTACCGGGGAAAAAGTATTTGTCTTAAACAGCGGTCCCTACCTTGTTCAACAAGGTGAAGGGGGAGGTTCAGACAGAGCTAAAGGACGTAGATTTGTTTATTTTTGCACTGAATACGGACGGACATGTGGTCAAGTGTAAATATGACTCCTTACATGAACCTAACATTGCACTATCTGACGAAAGACTGGACACTGAAATCCAACTGTTTGGAAACAACCTACATTCCGGAATACCACACAACCGACAAACTCTCCGAAGCCCTGCGTTCGGGATTCCTTGACGAAAATCTAATGTCCTGTATCGCCACAGACAACGGGGCCAACATTGTGGCTGAAGTGAGGCAACTGAACTGGCCTTGGCTAAATTGCTTTGGCCACAATCTCCATCTCGCTGTCACCATCAACGTGAAGCCAGAGCACAGGCTGGGTTCTAGGCCTATGTAGAACTCTGGTGGGTACTTTTTAGCAGAGCTGGCGATTTAAAAGAGGGACCTAGTAAGGCCCAGACGGAGCTGAACCTCCCAATTCACAACCTCATTCTTGTGAGAAATTAAGTTTTAATAACTAAGCTGTAATAACCATTTATAGGCTATTCAATGTTAAAAGAATAAGCTATGTGAAATTATTGTACATGTATAATTGTTATTCAGATGCCCGAGCAAATAAACAAACAAAATAGGCTAGTTTCCTTGAATCACTAATGTTGCATTACCATAGGCCCATTGTTTTATTTTGCCAATCATACTCTAATTAAACCACTGATTATAATGAATTAATAATGAGAATAAAGAACATATTCCGGGAATCCTACATGTTACGTGTGTGTACTATACCAGAAAGCATGATCATTAGCTTCTTCTGGATTGTTTTAAATCGCGTAGCCTGTCGGAAGGCAGCGGGTGCGGCAAATAGGCTTCCAAATAGATGACTGTTGAGTTGTGAATGTCAGTGAAAGAGAGGCTCAGCCAGGCATATCGCAATTTTTCAAAATACAATGGTGGGAAAACATAGTTTGGGAAGCAATTGGCTTATTGCTTCAAAGAGAAGAAGATGAAAATACTAATGTCTTTTAATGATCAAAATCCTCAACTTTAATTGAGGGAACAGTATTATTGACATCGCTATATCCCCGGTGAGTGTGCATATTCACTGTCTATCACTGGGTCAGTGCCACTTGAAAGTCGTATTGAAAAAGATTCTGCTAATCTCTCTAGTCATATAAAGTGTAGTAGAATTGCATGATTTTAAAATAATAAAAGGCCACATTTTTCCAGTGAAAAGAAACCTACTCCACCACGCGCTGCATTGAACAGCCTTTTTTGCGAACAATGACTGAGTTATATTATTAGCCTAAATTATGACTATCCAATTTACTATTCACATTAGGAATAGTCAGCTATTTTACATAAGTTTGCAAATGTGATGATGCATGGAATGCTTTATATTTTTTCATGGTGAAAATTAGCTTCCCCAAACTTGAGAGCAAGACTGGCCTAAACGTGCTAATGTTTTCCTTTGCTAATGTCCGCCCCGCCCCCCTGTCGGCTGTCGTTAGTCGATGACGGTACATAACCACGCCAATACGAAACCCGAAGTTCCAGAACCTCACAGCCCTAGTTTATGCTGAGGGTTTCAAAGGGGGCTTTTGGGAATAAAAAACCCATCTGAGTGGGGAAAAGGAAATTGGGAGAGAGCATTGAAGTTGGAATGTGCCTTACTTGGGGGGGAAATGGAAACTCCTCTTTTGTCCGGCTAGCCCTTATACGTTTAAGGACTTCAAAGTATCCATTTCAGTAAGGCC